TATGCGCTTTACAGCAGGGAGTGGGATGAATTATTAAAAGTTTCACCTAAAAAAAAAATAATGAATAACAACAATAACTATAAATATACGATTACTAGACCTATGTTAATAAATAAATAATTTGAAAATATAGAATTTTATTTACTTTTTTTCATCTTTCGTTAAATATTTATTTTCTTAGTCTTATTACCTTACTTACTTTTTACTTTTTTTCCATTTATTTTCTTGCCTTTACCTTTATTTTCTTTCATACTTACGACTTGTCTCTCTTTTCCTTTACTTCCCTACCCTTTTTTCCTCCTTTCAGTTGTCTACCTCTTTCATTTTTTCCCTTTCCTTTTCCTTTTCTTACCTTATATTTTCTTTTTCTTTCCTTTCCACATTTCTTATTCTTTCCTTTATCTTTCTTTACCATTTCCTTTTCTTATATCCTTCGATTTCTTGCTTTTTTCCCTTAACACTTTCCTTTCGTCTTTCTGTATTTCTCTTTCTTTTATTTTCATTTCCTTTGCTTTTTCTTTCTTTAATTTCCTTTCTTATTTTTCCTTTCTTTTCCCATTCATTTTCTTTCTTTTTCTTTCCTTTCTTTTCCTTTCGTTTTCTTCCTTTTCTTTTTATATAGGCTATATACCTTATATACATCATATATTTATATATATCATGATGATTTATAGGCCTATATAATTTAACAGTGTTAACGGCTATCTTGATTTATATATATATATATGTATATATATACATATATATATATATATATATATATACATATACATATAAAACCCATAACATTATTATATGCTTTACTTTTAATACCGTAGTCATGAGAAAAACTAATCTTAATCGGAAAAATCAAGAGTGTATACCACTTGACATCATATCTAAGTTAATAGGGTATCCGAACGGTTCAAATCGCGATGGGGACAATACATTTTCTCAGAAATGAATTACCATATAATATAAACGACTAATAGATAGGTAAGGGTATACACCGACCCTCCCCATCAAAACATATAAGCTCCGGCCCACTCGGACCAACGGCCCTCGATCGCCACTCGATCCTGGTTAAAAAAAACCGTGTTACGGTCTAATAATAATGACAATAATTGAATACGCTTGTAATGTGAATATAAATGTAACTGTAACAATCAGCTGTTTTTCCATCTTCTCTGTAACAATGTTATCGTCAATTTACCGATTTGAAGCGATTGAAACCGCAGCATTCTTTTCAAAAGAGAACAACACATACCTAGAATAACTGCAAACAATTTTTTATCTGACAAAACAATTATGTTGTCGATTTTATTAACTTTCTGAATGTATAGTCAATTGAATAAACAGCTAAAATAGAAATGCGGTTTACGGCTTCAGTGACCATAACAAAGCACGACTCCAGTTGTTATGAGTACAAATCGTCTGCAAATTTTTGTGCATCCGGCTAGACATAGCTTAATGTGTTCAATAAAAGGACTATTAGCCGTGGGTTGTCGTACAGGTTGTTCTTTGTTAAGAAGCGTTACGGTACCGTATATAATCCGGCTATTTGACATTTAACTTTATTTTTCTGGTTATTAGACTATTTAACTAATCCATCATAACTTTTCATTGTGACTTCGCTAACTGAATATCCTAAACAAACAAACAACAACAAATGTGGTATTTTAATTAAGGATTTTGAAAGGCGGCATTCGTTAATTTTGTTATTATTTGTGATCTAGTAATATTTAATATGGTAGGCCTCATATAATGCGATATATGCTTCATCGATGTCTAGTTTCAACAAACACGACTATATAAGTGTATTCAAATAAATGAAAATTCTATATGGTAATTACTAAATGCATTTTGAAATATATAAATTGAAGCACCTCATCAACAAGAAAATTATATATATTTAGGTATAAGGGCCTAATCTGATAATAAAATAATTTCTGTGGCATTGACTCGAGAAATTTTTAGACCTACATTTCAAAGACTATGAGGTTTAAAGCCGGGCACTCATTGTGGTCGACAGTCGCCTACGGACGCGATTCAATGGATTACGCAATGCAACGACTCGCGCGCAGCAGATCGTTTTTAATGACGATCCGGCCGTTCAGACTGCCACCGACAATCAGCAAACGGCACGCATTGTCTATCCTCACAGGGAGCGGAGTTGATTTCACCGTACGACGGTCGAACCACGCATTGAGTGCCCGGCTTAACTTGTAAACGGAGACGAGATCCGAACCGAACAACCCATTTGCACATTATTTATGTATACTTATTGCTGCTATTTTGTGATTATTTTGCTCATAAGTAAGTGTATTTATATGTTTAACTTACAAATGGATATGTTTAATTTGAATTTGTCTATTTATAATGCTAGGTTTCATCACAAAAATGCTATACAGGCCTATACGTCTTGCCAGCTAAATACCCACCTTTTTTAAAATATTTGTTCGCAGCTTGGTTTGTGCATATCAAGAGGAAGTGCGGCGGTCCTGAATCTGAATTGCGCCGTGATTCTGCTACCGATGTGCCGGTCCTTTGTCTCCCTACTACGGGGTTCACGACACGTAAGTCGCAACAATAACTTAAGTTCGTTTACTTAAGGTAGATGGTGTTGATAGTGCTGACAAAGAGGAATATTACTTAGAATTAACAGTTGTTTGTTGTGGTTAGTGCTGTTGTATTAAAATAAAATGATCATCAATAAAATATTTTAAGTATTTGTACAGTCTACAGGACGGCTATGATAAGGAATGTGGAGCTGATACGAAGTCCTATCAACGCAAAGTCAATAGATATCATGTAGACCGTCGCAACAGCTCTCCGATATCATGTTTACAGAGGCATTATCCTGTACTTTTATTGTTATTATTATTGCTAATATTATTGTCATTGTTACCGTTTTTGGCGACTAGTAATATTCTTATAATGATTGTTTATTTACAGACTTTAAAAAGAAGTTAACTACTTGCCCGCTAGATAAAACTATTAGTATTTCAGGAATGTATTTCTACCATTATAAGTTTTAATCAGCATCCAACAACTTCATAAAATTGAATACAGAGAATAATCGATTCTAAATCGAATGTTATTGCTTGCTGCTCGGTTTTATCGGTGTAGCCCGGACAATTAGCCAATATTGATAATCTGATATTGATATATTGATTTATCCCGCGCCGCTCCAGTTAAGGTACGTTTCAACAATACCGGCCTACCTTCGGTGTCGTTATGTCGGCTAATTGTTTGATCCCATCGTTTACTGATTATAAACCTATCGATATAGCCAATTAGATGGACGATAGCATTTATTATTGCCAAAATTCAGGGGCGACTGGTTACAAGACGCCACATGAACATAAATCCAGAGACTAAACGACTTAAGACTCGAGTTTCGGGGAACCATTTCGGTTCGCTGTGACCTTTAGCCCAGTTAAAAAACTAAAATATTTGTATAACTGTCGTCTGCAGCCACTATAAATGGCGCGAATTTGTTGAATGAGAGCTGTTGAAAAATTATAAGCTGCTGGTTCTTTATAATGGTTTGATTTTATTGCTCCAGTAAAGATAAATGAAATATATGGAAAGTTTAAAGATATACCTGACAAAAGTTGATTAAAAAACCCCCAACAAGTAGAGCTTTACATTGCTCACTTAGAAGAATCACATAAATTATCAACTAAAGTCACGGATTGAAAAAAGTCAATTTTGTAATTATTTACAAAAGTTTTACTATGCGATAATGATTACATTTTCTACAGAAATTAAAGGGTGTAATAATATGCTAAGATTACAGAAATAGTATTACTTGAATGTCACATATTCTTATTCGTTCTAATTTTCAGTTTAAAGCTATATCGGTACATATAAACATACAAAATGAGCAATTTAGATTTATTTATTTATTTTTGAAATTTATTTTATTGTCGAGATGGTATACGGTAATCTTTAAAGTCTAATTTTGTTGTATCGTATAAAATTGAATTGTAAAACCCCAAAGCAGCCAACAAGATGCACCATGATTTGGCGCCAATTACATGGGAAATTCGACATATATTCTTAAATTCTTATTCCCTCTATTTGCTTGTGTAAATAGTGTCAATTAAGCAAGCAATTTAATAGAAAGGGGCTCGAGCATTAAGCTGTGAAGGGGCATCGGATATTATACGATAAGATTATAGGGCCTATAGCTTCGTGATTAATAGGAAACGTGATTGAATGCTGACGGTTCTTGTATAAGAAAGGGATAAAAAAAAAAACGTTTTTGTGGATACAGTGTTGTCAACAAGTTAAGCCGTATTTCAAACAAACATACTTGATACACGGTAAATCAATTTTTTAATTGCCGGCACATAAATTATGTGTATTGAGTGTGTTTCGTTTCGTTTTTAATGCTTCAAAATATTACGATGTTAAGTAAACTTTTATGAACTAAAGTTGAATAGATCTATTTAAATCCTCAAAGATAAATAACATTTACATTCCAGTGAAAACACAATCCATTTAGGGGGGGTTATCCTTGTTTAGAGAACCTCAACACCACGTCAAACGATCTCGTAACTGCGCGTGAATATCGCCATGGCAACGCCCTGGAAATAACCCACTCGACTAATCATTGAGTGTCTGACACGTGATATATATAATTATGTCTATATCTGTATAGAGGGGCATATTATGGGACAAGGGTTGAAAAGTGCTTTTTCCTGTAATGAGTCGTTGAAAGTAGTATAGGTTTATATTTCAATTCTATTTGTGAATAAAAGTCTGTTTTTCCTTTTGAATTCTGGACGTAAAAATTAGTTCATTCGTAAAAAAGTAAATTTTCAGTGGCGGATCAAAAGGATCATCAAATTCAAAATTACTAGAGGCCCTGTCTGGTTGTCTACATCAGTTTAGCTTAACATAGAATAATCTATATTAAATAAAATTGACCTAATAATATTAATTTAGTAATAATAATTATAATGTTCATGATGATGATGATGATAATGACAATTATAATGATTATAATAATAATGATAATATTAACGATAATGGTAATAATAATGATGATGTATATAATTTTAATACCTGTGTTTTTAATTTAGGCTAAGCGATACGCCAGGCGATGCCTTGATCGTGGGGTTATACTACATGTTTTGTGTGCCGTTTTCATTTGTCTAGCTGCGGGTAGGTGCATTCTCTTTTACACAATCTGATTTAATACCCTTAGTACGTTTGTGAGGCAGTAATACACATGAATACAAGTTTTCAATTATTGAGCACACTCCTGATGTCGCTTTTTACAGTATACACATGATTCACTCTCTTCTTTAAACCACATCCATTAGAACGGAGTGAATATTGTGTTATAGTTTCTGAAAACATTAATTAAGAACATATTTTGTGGTATTTTGTTTTCAAAATTCATAATCTGAGTGAAACTTCAGTGGTTATTTTAAGGAAATTGTCAATTTATATTCAAAATGGAGTGTGAAGCCGGCCCCAACCCGGTCGTCGGCAGACGTGATAAAGAACGCAACGCCACGACACGCACGCAACGGATCGTTTTTATGGCGATCCGTTTAGACTGCCACCAAAAATCACCAGCCGGCGTCTGTCACGTCATCTAGCGTTCACCGGGAGCAGAGTTGGATTCGTCATACGACGGCCTTACGACCGTCCTACGACACAGTGAGTGCCCGGCTTAGTTAAAACAAGTGCCAGAAAATTGAGATATAAAATTAAGCGGTACACCTGTCGTCGAGACAACATTGAGTTGAGATAATTAGTAAACACTATCCCTCACATCCGATTTCTTTCTTCAACAACATTCAAACAACTTTCTTTTATTTTCTCGTGGTATATTTCCTGTTCACTGGACCACTCCTGCTCGTTGTAGGCCTGTTTCCTGCTTGTAGCCTCTTTCCTCCTTGATAGCCTATTCACTGGTCATATGTCCGTGTTTTTAGAGGTGTTGTTAGGCAACAATTTGCAGGTCTACGCCTACTGGGAAGTCACAGGGCATCGATACTAAATACATAGGAGTATTACAGCTTGGTGGGGTGATTAACTTCCAATAATTGTCTGTACATTTTCTCACGTCTAAAACAACTCCGCTCACAAAGTCTCGTAATGAAGCGTAGTTTTAAAGCATGAATTTATTGACCATCTTGTAAATGGCGAGTGTGGATGTGAAGGAAATAAACAAATAAAAAGATTTACTGAGCTAAAAATAATTGTGGAATAGATCTGTAACTTTGTGGTTAAGTTGCTTACTTTCCAATCTCAGGGTCCCTTTTTTCTCACGACCAAAACAACTCCATAGATTTGTTGTTTATTATAGAAGGTCCTTCAACCCGGCCCTGTAGCCAGTCATGTGGGTGTACTTGTTGTTATATGTGAATATTTTTTTTTAAATATAGGGCCTAATGAACCTTTCTACAAAGCTCCGCCCCTTGGATACAGTTTCTATGGTCCCACGAAGTGATTGCGTAAAAACGTGCGCACACGCGTGCGTTTGTGGGACAACGATGGGACAGCACGTCTGTTTGTGAGACAAGTGCGTATGGTTGACACTCCGAAAGGTCCATTAGGCCCTATTAGCATTATAAAATTTTAATGAAATTAATTTAAGTTTAAGCCTTATTTATTGATTCGTTTTTCTAGCCGTGCACTGTACTGCACATGTCATAAATGCCGTTAATTTTACCACCCACTACAACGAAGAGATCGTAGAAGTAAACGTAGCTACCAAACGTAATGAGGTACGTTATTATCCTATAAGATTGATATTATTAAACAGTATTTAGTCCTAGGCCTATTTAGAATGGCCACATTTTATAAAATGTTAGAGCTAATGAAACATAGGCCTAACCAATGGACTGCTTACTTATAACTTAAGTAAGTAATAGCAACACGAAAATATTATATAATTAGTATAGGCCTAATACTGCTTATTAACTAGTAGTACATACACAAATGGGTTATTACTAAACTTATACGTATGTTTGTACTAATGAAATCTAGTAAATTAGAGAATAATATTTTTGGCGCCAACTAATTGGAAACCATGTAATAGACATATTATTATTTAATTACGGATTAATGTAATATAGAGTAATTAGACGTACTTAGTATTTAACTTTTCAATTTATGAAATTTATGATTAAACTTTGTGGTTAAAAGCCTATAGCAATTTGTACCACTTTCGTTTTGTTATTAAATAACAAAATATTTTGTTTTTAAATACACAGGAACCGTTTCGCTTACTATTTTGTACAGGTATGTATAACTTCAAGACACCTTGCGTTCATGTAATGCATTAATCAATTATGCAACGTATGAAATAAGTAAATAAGTGCAGGTATGTAAATTATAGGCCTAGTTATCGTGCATCGGATCAAACGCCACACACAGAACTGTGTGAGGACGGTATTCATGATGTTGCAGCTCGGTACTCAGCGCATTGGCATGCCAACCGTCCAGGTATCTAATTACTCCTGAGAGGAGAGTGACCACGTGCCCAAGCACAAGCAAGTGGTCAGTTGGACTCGAACCCGATATTTCGATTGTTAACGATTGCTATCGTCGACTCCTTTGGCGACGCTGATTGGTCAGCTGAATCAGTGAGCGTTCCCGATTGCGTCGGAGACAGCTACGCAGTGCAATGATTGCAGTGAAAACGCTGTAGCGACTGCGTAGCGATTCTTTTGAAACCAGGATTTTCCTTTAAATCGGCTACATTGTCGCTACGGCGTTTGCTGTGCAATCATTGTATTGCGTAGAAGGCCTGACGCAATTGGAAAGGCTCCCTGATTCGACCGGCCAATCAGCATCACCGAAAGCTCTCGGCGATAGCGTGTAACGATTGTATGTTAACCCAGCTACCGAAATACCTAGTTTATTCAAACCTCGACCCAGAGAGCCCCGATTACACTATGTATTATGTGCGGTGGAGGCGTACGGTATTTACTGGCGCTATGTACGGTACACTTTTGAAACAGTGGCACACTTTACATGAAAAATAAAAGTTAACAAAGATGTAGGTCTTGGTGATACAGTTTGTCTTGATTTTGATGTTACCCGGCAGGTTTTTTCCGGTATGTTGTTTCCATGGTTTGGATAATCGTCTACTAAACTACACACGCACGAACTCTTCTACACTAATATTTATGCCATTTTGTTAATAATGTGATATTTTAGGTGGTTCTATATTGTCCTGTTGCCCCGTGGACGCGAAACATAACCCAGAGGTAGCGTAAACTATGTCAATGTTTAATCTGTATTATCGCCAATTGCTACAGGCTAACTTAAAGCCAATCAAAAAAGCTTTTAAGAATGACAGCTATTAGTCGTTGATAATCTTTGCCTCTGTTGAAAATGTCAAGTTGTTATAATTCCGATTCTACTAAGCAAATTTACATCAGTAAAGCTTGGTTTCCATACAATCGCTCACGCTATCTCCAACAGCGTTCGGTCATGCTGATTGGTCGATAGAATCGGGGGAGCCTTCGCGGTTGTGTCGGAGACTGCTACGCACTGCATTGAAAACACTGTAGCGAGAGTGAAGCGATTTTAAGGAAACCAGGCTTTAGCCTCCATTCAAACTACCAATAGTTACATAATAATACCACGGCACATACATACAACCTAGAGGCGCACACGTAATTTACTTTACGGTAATGTAAATTGCGTAATCGAGCAATTGAAGTTATCGAAAATTAACGATTTTTTTAAAACTTCATTTAAAGGCATAATCGTATTTATTTTTTAAAGTAATATTAGTTATGAGATAAGAGGTCTACATATTATTTTATCTTATAGTTCCTGGATTGACTGGAGTTTTAATGGTGCTTATTCTTGTCCTAATGATCGTAGCTTCGTCTAAAAATGTAAGGTAGGTTACAATTTTATTAAGCTTTCCGTCAAATGTAGTTTGTTAATATCAGAAGACAGCATTATCGAAATGGGTGACTTAACCGAATGACGTTTTATTGGCTGAATATTATGATGTGTTCATAATTGATTTTTTTCTCCGGTGCAGAATTTTTAACCGGAATTCTTATTTAAGCACTTAATTTTTTTGTCAGTATTTGTTCATTTTCTTAGTAGTTACCTCGTCTTTTTTTGTTTGTGGTGATACGCTCGGATATATCCAGGTGTTCGCTCTTTAAAAACCACCCTTAAACCGTCACGTTCCTCTAAAGTAGCATCCAGAGGAGTTCATATAACGGCCTGAATGACTAAACAAAACTCAGGCAGCCTACTTGTGGTTTTGAGCTGTAGCAGCTTCCTTCCACTATTAATGACGATGATGATTATGTTAGTGGAAATGTTTATCATAATACTATATGCGCTTGAAGCAGAATACATGAATTTAGGCCGTTGCTACTGTACCGTATGTAGGCCTACGACATGCATGGTGACGTATATAGGTCCTCTGACACGTTTTTTATTCTTTTTTTCATCCCTCCACAATCTGATATTATTCATCCTTTTTTATTCTTTCTTTTTTGAAATCTTGTGAAACGCTTCCTCGCTTGTGAATAGTATTCTTTCCGTTATACCGGTATACACTTTGTTGTTTATCTCGAGAATGAACAGTCAGTAAGTCTATCAGTCATCAATCAATCAATCAATCAATCAGTCAATCAATCAATCAAGAACCAATCAATCGATGATTAACCGCTAAATGGATCAATCAATCAGTCAATTAATTTGGTGTTGGTGTGATTACGAATGAGTGAAGATAATTTAACGTCATGCTACAAATAGATAATCGGAGACGCGTAGGAGTTTACAGCCTCTCATAAAATATTTCAAAAACCTTAAAACCCATTGAATCATTGAATAGCTTACTTTGAAAATGCAAGCAAGTCTGTATTTACTTCTAGATACATATCAAAACAACTGATTTACATACACATCGAACTTAAGGGTCTGACCTAGGACTATGCAAAATGAGGAACGGTATAGTTATTCGTTCGTTTATAGGTAAAGAACATATTTTCTTGTTTCAGCATTTCTCTATGTTTCCAATTTCAACAGAACTTTTTGCTAAGCCCCGCCCCTTGGATATCGTTGCTAAGGTCCCACAAATTGACAGTGTAAAAGCAAAGCACACACGTGCGTTTGTGGGACAACGTGTGTGACGTGTTTGTATGAGAGGTGCGTATTCCTGGCCCTTTTCTGATTGGTCAGTTGTAAACTTTGATTGACAGTCCAGAAATGTCCATTGAAATAACTTGCTTAAATATACAAATTAGCAAACCTCTAACTATTGTTTTTCACCTAATTAAATTTGGTTAGCTCTACACAATGTATGATTAAGCGTGAAGGTAGAAAGTTTAACCATAAGTGTCTCTTATGGTCATTAATCTTTATACATCCAACCTTTTGTGTCTTGTTGAATATTATTTTTTGTTACAGATTAGTTATTTTTATTAGTTCATTCATTGGTTTTTATGGCTAGGATTGGTTGGTTAATTTAAATTAGTTTACATTGCACATTCTAATCCGAGACCACCTCTAGGACCTGAAAATTTGGGGTAGTGCTGGCCTAGATTGAAGATTGTTGGTTAGTACTTTGTTAAAATTGGTCTCGAATTAGAGACGTCTCGGAATTATTTATTTTATTTTATTACGGTATATAAAAAACAACAAAAACAGCAGCCAATGGTTAAAAACGTTTGTTCACATAATATATAGAAAAATAAACAATGAGGACCATATAATAAATATATTATATAAAATAAATATATATAACATTACAAAACTTTGCTATTATAAAAATACAGAGAAATATTAAATTTGCAAAAGATAAAGTTCATATAAAAAATCGGCAAGGAGGGAGCATGTCTCGAAAGCAATCAGATTTAAGTATTATACTATTACCAAAAGAAAGTACTAGTGTATTCCTCCTTGCCGCAAGAGAAGGTAACCTAGTAATGGCTATTACCAAAAGAAAGTACTAGGGTATTCCTCCTTGCCGCAAGAGCTTATTCAGTTTGGTTAATTTTAGGATTGGCTGATTTTGATTGCTTCATTATGATTGGTTCATTTCGATTTATTATATTGTTATATTTTCCTTGTTTCAGGTTGGTTCATTATGAGTTGTTTTGGTACACGCATCATCTATTTATATTCTTCTACGGATTGCTCCTGATGCATTCTGCGAGGTATGTACCTTACATAAAAATAACGCTTATAATAATCGATAAAATTTAGTTATTGTAGGTCTACCATTAAAATGTGTTTATATGTATTTTTTTGTATTAAGTATTTCGGTTTTACTTTGTTTTATTTGTTAGTCATACGACATTTGGAATAGGCTAGTAAAGAACATAAACTTGATTAGTCAGGGAAACCATGCATGAGCATCACAAAATGCCACCAGAGAAGAATGGTCGACATTTTTGCTAACCCTTAGGTGGGACCATAAACAGCGTATTACGTATGTAAACTTGCGTGTTGTGGGACATGCGCGTATTCCTGGTCATGTGTATTAAATTACATGTTTTGATTGGTCAGTATATTAAATTTGAATGAAAGGTCCATAGAAAAAAAATATAGGATAAAATGACTGATTAGACTTACAACATTGAAACAATTCATAATGTATGTGAAAACAATAGGCCTACTATACAATGAAAAAGTATCTGTCTATCGGTGATGGTTTTGTTCCCGAATCGCAACAAGGGATCGAATAATAATTATTAAAATTGCTCCCTTAGGCTTTGAATTAAATTTCATTGAATTAAATTTCATTGAATTAATTTAGTTTTGGTTTTAAAACACGATGCTTGTTAAATTGTAAAATAACACACACTGTACCGTACCTTACTTAACGTGTTCGGAAACATTAAAGAAATACCTGTTTTTTAATTAGAACAGGTGTTACACTGTGGTCGTTGCTAAGCAACCGCACTGTGCTCATTTGCTTGCATTTGCGGTATATTCTCGTACCGGAAACATTCACTTTAATAGCAAAATGAACAGAAATTAACAAGAATAGATCCGTTGTTGCCTCGTGCGACGCATATAGTTTCGAACATAAGTAATTAGATTTGTCATTTACACGCTCAGAAAACTTACGCCGTATTGACAGCGTATAATCGAGTTCGTGATCTTTACTTCTTTGTCTTTATAACGGGAGTTAGGCTTACTAATATGCCTATAACCATAACGTAGACAGTTTTCTTTTTATATGCTAACTATTCTATTTTAACAATGGGTGCAATTTAAAAAAATATAAATTTTGTCGCAAAGCAATTTATGATGTGTACATTGCTTCTAGGCAGTGGCGTATTAGGAGTATTGACATAGGGGAGGGAAATGATGAGGCTGTCATGGGAAAGGGGATGGGATAGTGCGTTACTCGGAGGAATGAGGCAATATGAGTTGTGATGATAAATGTAATTATATTTTTCAGCAAGTTTTCGGAAGAGTGACGGATCCTCATTTAGATAGGATGGTCGCAGTAGGCAAACTGACTTAATGACATGCTGTAGCTCTATGCACATTTTGTCTAGGGAAGGGGAAGACGTAACTTGCTAAGTCGTGCAGACGATTGATTGATATGTTGATATAGCTTGTTGTAGGCCTACATTTCCCTAACCAATTACATTGTCTTTATAGTGGCGTACTGAAAGAGCAGACCAATTTAGCATTCCACACACCTGGTTGTCTGGATACAGGTGGTTTGCCTGAACCGGAACCAGAACCTGAGCACGCTCCCTTTCAGCTAAAAATGTTTGGCATGCGACACATGAACGGTAAAATGAAACCGTGTGATGCCCCTCCTTCATTTAAATCGCATCCGTCCCAGGTAGGCCTATATAATTTTTATTTATTTATTTATTTATTTATTTATTTATTTATTTATTTATTTATTTATTTATATATTTATTTATTTATTTATTTATTTATTTATTTATTTATTATCATTCAGACCAACATCAAAAATTGTCACAAACAGGCTAGTAACTAAAAAATAATTATATGTAGGCCTAATTATAATAGTTCTAAGTAGGTACAAATTAACAAACAAAAAAAACCCCAAAAAGTAACATGAAAAGAACATGACGCCCTATAAGTTCTATGTTTTTTTTTTGCTTCAATTCACTTCCAACAGTGCGTTAATACACTAAGTACAGTGCGTAAGTGCATAGCCTAAAGTGTGTCCATATGGACATGATGAAATCATGTTACATCCAAATATGGGCATATCATACTTGATCGTGTGAACAATGCTTAACATTCGTTTAAGCAAGTGCATATTCAACAGTGCGTGTTCCTTTATCAAATGCATACTGTATGCATGTACATTACACATAGGCCTATTTATAGAAACTATTATAGGCTTATGTTATAAATACAGTATTTTTTTTATTTTTCAGTCATGGTGTTTTGTTGTATTCCCATTAATTCTCTACGTTATTGAAAGAATAATTCGACTGCTTAGAGGGCGACGGGCAGTTGAAATATCCAATATTCGTTACCATCAGCCTGGCGTCATCGAAATTCAAATGAGCAAAAAGAATTTCGACGCACGACCTGGACAAGTATGTCTTATATGTAACATTAATGTTTTTCCTAAGCGTATATATTTGAATTTAATGTTTCTTTTAATACATCTCAATTGAAAGGTTAATTAAGCAATTTACTTATTGAACTTAATTCCTTAAGTTTGTTATCTTTTATTATCTTATTTTTATAGCTTAGCACAGACAGTCTTATCGTGAATTTAATCATCTCCAGTTTTTGTTTGCATATATTCAGTGTACTGCAATTAATTTATGATCATGGTTTTCATATATTTATTTTCAGTATATTTCGCTTAACTGTCCGGCGATATCCGCACTAGAATGGCATCCATTCACACTAACTTCAGTGAGTTGAAATCATGATGTTCCCTATTCGACTCAAGCCTGGTTTCCATAAAATCGCTACTCTGTCACTACCTTTCCCCAACGCATTCGACAAGGCTCCCCGATTCGGTCGACCAATCTACATTTCAAACATGTTTTCGGCGATAGCGTGTACCGATTTCATGTAAACCAGGCTTGAGTAGAGTTAATCCTTGTCCACACTATCAAATTGTATGTGAAAAAATTGAGTGATGTCCCCATGGGCGTGGTGATGTCAAATTACATCCAAATATGGGCATCAAATTTATTTGTCACATAAAATTTGATAATGTGAACAGAGCCTTAAGCTCTGTCTACACTATCAAATTTTATGTGACAAAAAAATTTGATATGCCCATATTTGTGTGTAATATGACAACACCATACCCATATATGGGCATATCACACAAATTTGTCACATATATATAGGTGAAGGGAAAGTAGGTGTAACTTTAAAGTTACTTATTATGTGATATGATGCATAATTCTACGTTGACAAAACGAATTGTTCCCTTTTACAGTGTCCGTCTTCAAGTTCGGATTCGTTCAGTGTTCATGTTCGAGTGCTTGGTGACTGGACAGGTACGTTTCATGTTATTATATTCCTTCCCAACCTACTTCTCTTGCTTTACTTCCTCTCCCATTCCCATTCCATCACCTATATCTACACCACACAGGCCATGAAGGCTCTTGTAGTGCCCAGTGGTAGCGATCAAAAGTCATTTAATTTTCCTACCATGTCTGAAGTTGCACGAGAACTAATCCTCCCATGGACGAAACGGCTAGAGATATAGGTACGGTATATATAAATAGACCATTGAATGTACATTAAGAAACGGTTAATTGGATCCTGAACGTAATCTAATACTTGTATAGATAATAATGTTGAAGGCATATGCCCAGGACTATCGAAAGAAATTCATAAACAACAAGCCGGATGATGCATTGAATAAATAGATATTATCTAAACGTGACAATAGAAAATTCTGATATAAAATGAATGAAAAAATAAACAACATTTTTACCGTGCTATAAGCAAACAGCATATTTCCTTATCAATAAAGTCTTTTACTGTTAAAATTATGGGTTGTCGATTATGAGGTTCTGGTTGTGCAACGTAATTTTTTTGTTCTTAATTTTCATATATTTATTTATTACTGATTTTCAAACCAAAAACAAAAAGATTGGTTAGCAAACCATGCGAAGAGCTGGTTCAAATTATCCGCCGACAATGATCACAATCACCTCTATGACGACATAATAACCTCCGCATAACGTGGTGCATGTAATATTAATTTCGAAACCAGGCAAGGAAACCCACTAGACAGTTTTTTGGAACATTGTTAAACAAGTGTGTGACTGTCTGATGTAGTGTTTACATTTTGTTGAATTTGACAATTGTTGCAAGATGTCGAGACAAAAATGAAATGATAGTGTGCTGTATGTTATAACTTAGGTATGCACTGTTACTTATTGAGTTGATGCTACATTATTTTGCCAAATGAAACTACGAATACATATAAATTTTACGGTCCAAATTAAATTTGCCTCAATTTTTTTTCAGTTTCTCTTAGAGACAGTTTGTTCCCTGTATTGTGTAAACAAGCTTCTGTTGAAGATGGAGGACATGCGTACAAAGCGCATTATCCCAGGTATAGACACAGAAATTATCATCATAGTTTTAATTCAGTGTGCTACACAAATTAATTATCGTAAATATTATTTTCATCATAATCGTTACCATTATAATTAATATCATCATCATCATTATCATTATATGTTGTGATTATTTTGATAATATTGTTATTATAATCATAATTAGTTAATAAGAAAATGATAGCATACCATTCATACATCTATTCAATTTGAATAGTTTTTATTATTAAATACAGGTTATATATTGATGGTCCATTTGGCAGTCCAAACCAGGATGTGTTTAAGTATTGTACTAGTGTCTGTATTGCCGGGGGAGTAGGAGTCACACCATATGCTGCAGTATTAAACCAATTACGGTAAAAAAAAATGTCATCATTCATCAACATCATCCCCATTACCATCAGACACTTATAATATCATTATCATCATTATAATCGTAGGCGAGTCGATTGTTCGAGCGGTTAAGGCTGGGGAACCGTGACATACAGCCATAATTTTTTTCGCTGGTTTGAACGGCACGCCCGCCTATGGTTCCAGTGGTGGAACCAGTCTTCTCGGATAAGGACTCTAAACCTTAGGTCCAGTGTACACAATTGGCTCGTGTGCACTTAAAAGAACCCAGTACATCATTCGAGAAGAGCAGGGGGTTACCCCGGTGTACTGGTCCATTTCCAGTCCCTTGTCCCGCCACAGAAGGAGCGTTTACGTCGCGGCCCATGTCAGGTATCCATCCTACCTGCGAATCCTTCTACCACACTACGTAAGCAACATCATACACACTAGCTACGTAGTGACTCGATAAGAAGATTATAATCGTCATCACCATCATGATCATTTGTCATAAACTTCACCTATATTATTAGCATCATCACCACCACAGTTATTACCATCACCATCCTTCTCATTTCCATCATCATTATTGTCACCATAAGGCCTTGTATTATACAGTACCACAAATCACCTCAATTTTTTTTCTCCTTTTCATAATTCGCTACAATCATCATCATTATTATCATCTTTATTATGATTTCTTTATTGCCATCAGAACCATAATCTTAATCATTCATTATCATCATCATCATCATCCATTTCATTTCTCAATATCCTCATTATTATCATCATCAATATTATTTTCATCATTACCGTCATTATTACCATCGTCTCCTCTTTTACATTGTACTCGCCCTTATCATCATCCTGCATCCTCATCCTCGTCATGAATATCCTCCTCCTCCTACTCTTCGTCATCATCATCAATATCCTCATCGTTTTATCATCACCATCATCAGTTGTATGAAGCTTAATGTTCACGCCTTATGTTCTTTCATTCGAACCATTACAGTAGCTCATATCGTAAATAAACATTTTGTCAAGTTGGCCAATGTACATCAACTACGATAGTATAGTAATACTTTAACACCTCTCCGTCTTTATTCAAGCTATCTTTTATTTCACAGAAATTGCACATTACAAGGAATTAAACTCAATCGATTGTACTTCATTTGGGTCTGTCGCAAAGCTGACAGTCTTCAGTGGTTTGCAGATCTATTGGCTTCTGTACACAGGAAGGTAATAAGAGATACAAATTATATTGTCTGATACAATGAAATGTTCTTTGAATGTGGCTCTATACGTTTGGCAGACGATGATATTATATAATGTTAATCGGCAAAGAAAGGACTTTGTATTTTTCATTTAAAAACTAATTTCCAAAAATTACTTAAGTAACAGGGCGGATCCAAAGATGTCCGAATGGGGGAGGGGAGACAGAGAAACAACACTACCGTAGAGGATTTGTTTTCTAGACGCCCGAAAATAACCTATGAAGTGTTGGTTCTGGGTCGATCAATAAGTTCTTTTCTTTCTTTCTTTCTTTCTTTCTTTCTTTCTTTCTTTCTTTTTTTTTTTTTTTTTTTTTTTGGCTTTCTAAAAAGAGGGCCTGACCCCCGACCCCTTTCCACCCCTGAATAACCATTTCAAATATGTTATTTTAATTTAATTTCTCAAGCGCATTTAGCTTGACACAATTTGCTACGGTGTTGGTCGATTGTTAACTTCATGCTAGAAATATGTTTGTGGTTTGTAATAGACAAACTGTCTTATGATTTTATGCTATCATTGCTATGTTTCCTTCCTAATCTATCTTCGTGTTTTTATTAAGTTTTGGAATGAAAATAAGCCAGACTTCCTGAACATCCGACTGTTTGTCACTTCCAAGCATTCTCAAAACTTAATACTGCAACCTAATCGAACTACGGAGAGAAACACAGGAAAGATGGCACCCGCCGACACACGTGATCAATTTCTAGCTAATAGAATTCATCAAGGAAGGCCTGACATGAAGGCAATTTTGGAAGAGGTTGATGCCAGTAATAAAATGTAATCAGTGCTTTCTATAATTAATAAAATAAGGATCTTGTATAAGTGAAATGTGTGATATGCATGATAGCATTATAACATCATGTTCCTATTCGAGTAATTTGTGTATTTGTTTGTCCCCCACCCAAACTCCGTGCTTCTCACATCGCATAGCCACTACTCAAATCTGTATATAGCCTTATAACATTTTTGTTTCTTAATGTTTTCTTTTATTCACTTTTTAAAACATAACAAAACGCTCAGTACAAATAAAATCACAAAAAAATGCAAAGCGTACGGCGGACCATTTACAGATTTGCATTAACAATGTCAATAATTCAATTCAATTCAATTCAATTAACATTTATTCAATTAATTAATAAATACATCAAGTGATAAATAAAGTGGACAACATTAAAACTGTCTTATATAATTTCACTTGTTTAAGATGTGTATAAGAGACAGCATATATACATACACACACGTACATAACTAATCCATTACCAAAACATTCCACTTTTTGTTCCATAAATCAATTGTGCCATTATTATCGCTATACACTACTTATGATAATTGTCCAATTTTCAAAACTGTTTACCAATTTATTTTTGTATCTTTTTATTTTTATAGATCATCAATCGGGTTGTTTGTTTGTGGACCAAAGAAGCTCTCAAATCATGTTCAAAAGCTTTGCAATAGAATAAACAGACAAAGAAAAATAAAAATGCATTTTAATAAGGAAACATTCTCCTGATGTCATTATTCCAAGTTGCAAAAACTTTATATTTTTAAACGGGAAAGTAATATTTGAGTGTGTGCTCAATGCGTTAAGCATGAATTACCAATATCTATGCTACAGTGAAAGAAAACTCTTACAAATCCAGTTGGTGTTTCAGGAATCAAACGAATCGAACCTGATTCATTTGCAATACCGCCCGCTTGTGTTCAGCGTGTTTGGTTTGCCTTCTATGGTTATTTTTACGCACGAACAATAGGCTGCAGCAAATAATATAGATCATAGCTTGCAGTGCCAACCAATACATTAATAATAAACAAGATTGAGAGAAAAAAAAAAGGCGGGATGCAAATGCTTTGATAAACCTCGGCAGTCTGTATATCATTCTAAATCATTTGATAAGATATTGCAACAGTTTGACAACACTTTTAGCAACAGCTGCGACAGTTTAATAATCAATTTGACCATTCTACAACCAGTTTTTCACTTCGGAAAAGGTACCGGCAATCATTAACCGATATACGTTAATGGTATCGGCAACCGTTGGCAACAATTCGCCAATAGTACTGCCAATCTTTATATCCCACGACCTTTGCTTACGTCATTTTGTTATGTACTTTACTGCCGTATTAACTTTGGTGTTCTTGCTTCAAACGAAAGCATTCATACCTTGAAATCCATTGAACAAATTGTATAAGTTGTAAAGGAAAAAATCTGTCTATTTTTGTATATTAATTCTTCCATCAGGAAGATACGTGTGTATATATATATTACAGTGATTGTTTAAGGAACTGTATCTTATAGATTTTTTTCATTATAGATTTAATTATTTCAATAAAAGAGTTATATTACAACATTGTGCGTTTTGTAATGATTTTGTCATATAAGACTAAATTTGCTTGCTTCTATTACAATTATCAACCTATCCGTCTCGCTGTCATTCATTTCGGGCCGGAATGAAAGCTTGGAAAAATCAGGTCAACGTGGTTGCTGCTGATTGGTTAAAAGTAAATTCGGATAGGACTCTGTTAAAGAATCGCTCTGGTAGCGATCCGATCCGATTTTTTCTATGTTTCGGAATGGATGTGAACGTCTCCGCCTATTTTTCATTGGCCTGATCCAATTTTTTGATCGGTTCGATAGGATTTCCCATCCGAAAATTAGGAACCGATGTGAACGCAGCTTAAAACTTTGACCATAAGTCTACATAAATTACATGCTGTGCACATTTCCACATGCATAATATAGTTAACATTATTTTTTCGTATCACACAATGCCTTGAGACAACTTATCGTCTTAGTGGAAAATCCAAGAGTATATTGGCTTCAGCTAAGATAGTAACTTGAGTGGTAATCGTAGGGTTAGAATACGTTTTTCTAAAAAAAGGTTATTAATATAAGCCTATACAACTTTATTTATTGTAGCTCAATGATATCAGTGCTTATGTTTGGACCTTCTGCAGTGGTAATGATGCTAATAAAGGCCTCCCTCCAAATAAGAACATAGGCCTATATAATTAAAGACCACTTTTCTGTGGTCCCATATTTACAACTTTATCACTCGAATTAGAGACCAAAGCTGATAAAGTCCATGGAAATTCCGGTCCCAAAAGTGGCCTTTAATTGGAGGGAGATCGGTAATAAATTTTGGAAGTTAAAGAAGAGGACTCTGCGATTGTGAAAAGGTAACCACCGCCTGGATTAGAACCCGGGACATTCTGTTGTCTATGCAGACGTCCTAATCCTGAGCCACTGGGGCGTTATGTTTGGGAATTCAGGTCCGATGCAAGGCACTAACGGAGGACGACAACATGATACGGCCTTATTTCAATATATTTACTACATTATATTTTTATAAATTATTTTAAATACCAAAGGAAATCTATGACCCATCAAAGCCATATTATAATAACATTAGATAAGCAACAAAAATTAGCATTATATACCCGTTATTTTACATCATTTGCATTTATTTTTTATCTTCCTCTTATATTAGTCATGATACACATTATACTACAGAGAGCCGCTACATAGATATGATACTCATCATTGTCGTCGATGTCATCATAGTCATAATCATCATCATCATATAGGCACACGATTATGGTTATAATCATCATCATTATCACCATTATCACCAATCAACATAATTATCACTTTACTGCATAGAATGGAAAAAAATAAAGGGCCTGTAGAACCCGATTTGGTTTTGTTTAATGACACCCGGAAGACAAGTCCAAGGAAACGATGTGCAAAAACATAATAATAATATAATAATAACAACTTTATTTTATAACGGTCAAAAAATTCGTTCACCCAAGTGGGTGTTCTTCCACGAGGCCGTATGGACATTAAACAAAATAATTGTGTTAGATTAAAATAATTAAGTGTTAGTACAAAGAAAAAACAAATATATATAATACATAATAATGGTTATTACATTACTATGTTTCTTTTAAAAAGTTCTAGTGTGCTTGAATTTTTTATATTGCTGTCTAAATTATTCCACAAAAGAGCCCCCCGGTAACATAGACTTCCTTTTTTATATTCCGTTCTTGGCTTGAGTACGTTAAGGTTGTCGAAGATGATCGCGTAAACATCACATTTTACCGGATATTTCGGCCGCTCCTGTGATATTTTAGTGTTGATGAATATTACAGGAGTGGACAAAACATCCGTTAATAAAACCAGAAAAACATCTTAGTTCCTTATAAATTTGAATTGGAAGCTAATAACGTAATGTAATATGCATATCTATAAACAATTCAATTATTGTTTACTTTTATTATTTTTTTTAACAGTTTTTTAACGCGAACCATCATGTTAACGTTACAGGTTGTAATTTACTAAGTTAAAGAACTTAGAAATCATTAGACCATTTTAATTAGTATCATAATATCAAAATTGTTTCATTGACCATCATTGTGATCATCTGTACTATAGTATAAGTTATATAATTTCACTTGTTTATTAAAGATGTATTTCCCATGAAATATACTATAAAAAGATCATAAAAATCATTTTTGGAATTAATTAATTTTGTAACGATGTAGGCCTATAAACTTTTCAACTCCTCGCTGTGCATTTCACTTGTGTCCTTATAAGGCATTACAGTATCTGAATTGCTTCCCTCCACCTAGGAGAAGAAGTGGGTACCTAAGGTTCGAGTTCGAGTGCAAAAGGCATCGTTCCAATGACCGGGGTATTAAGCGCGCGCTATGATAAAAACCTACATAGGCCTATTATATTTATAACTTGAAATTAGTGCATTTAAAAAATATATTTGAATGATGTAAACACTTCCAGTCACTGGAACTTGGAAGGGTTTTTATCATTATTTTAGTACTAATTCAATAATGTCTATGCTCAAGTTAATAATTTGCATGTTACTGCAAAATGAGCAAGTTATTAAATTGTTATTTTCATTTTTAGGAGACAACCTTACTGTAGGCCTACAGTACAATAGTACACTTTTTTTTTCCATTTATTTACTTATTTATTCTTTATAAGAACACGTTTTATAAGAGCATTGAGACTGAAATTGCCAAAAAATTAAAAAAAATATGAAACAAAAAATTGAGGCTGAGGTAAAATGTCAAATGAGGATTTATTAAATACAAACACCATAATTATCTTATCCGTACCTATTTTCATTAGGTGCTGTGCAATAATAATTTTCCAGTGTGTGCAACTAAAAACAAAATAAGAACGTTTTGAGCCTGAAATCGGCAAAAAATAAAAACACTAAGTTTGGGCAAAGTGTACAAAATTTAATGTACAGCATCAGCTCCGTGAATTTATTCATACATTTTATGAATACACTGGCAACGATCTACGGGAACGCCATGTTTACAAATCCACAACATTGATGATCCATCTCGCTGCTCGTTTACGCTTCCGTAAAAATATTGCAGAAACTGTTAATTTGTTCATTTTTTTTATTCAAAAATGGTATGTACGATGAATTTTGTCTTTTTGCAAGTGACGAAAAGTATTCATGATGTTAATATGTTGGTAATGGGTAATTAAATAAAAGAAGGCTTACGAGATACAAAGTTTCTGTAGCCTAGCCGGTTGAGCAACACACCCGCACGTCTAGGCCATGATCACATGACTTGAAAGTGGAAATTTTCCCCGGTAGTGCATAATTACTGCTCGTTGGAGTAGAGGCGGCCTAGCCTAGGTTAAGTGTAAGCTGGTACTAAGCCGCCAAAAAACTGCAACCCGGAGGCCTTCTTGCTGTTATTTATCAATAACAATGTCATAACAAAATTAGTTTCTTAATTTACACGTAATTATTTGTTATTTTGCGATTGTGAGTGACATTTAATTTTCGGTGTACACATCTTCATTATCATCAATAAATCAAATCAAACCCTCTATCTAAACAGTGGTAATGGTAATGGTTGGAGACTTATATAGCGCATAATACATAGTCTCTATCCGCTGAACAGAAAAACAGAAAATAAAATCTATTCTAGTGGGTCACCTATAGTAAATAAAGGCCTGGCCTAAAAGGGCCTACAGTAGGTAGGAGAGAGCTACTACCAGGGGCGGATCCAGAAATGTCCCAAAGGGGGGGGGGCCGAAAGTTGGGCCGATTGAGACAACACTGTCGTAGGGGGTCGTAGGGGGTCCGGGGGGGGTCCGGGGGCA